ACTTTTGGTTCACTATTCACTCATCAAAGTCGTTCGGAAATAAACTCCGGTCAAATGTATTCTGGTATAGATTCACGTATTCATATTCATCTGAATTTTATTTGCTCGTATTTTTCCGTTCCAAGTATATTCGTAATCTTTGACATTTTTTTTAAGTGTATCGTTAAAAATTCGTCATTTTTATCACATGATTTCTCGATGTAAGATAATTTCATAAGAGGAATGTTACGTACTGTTGCAAAACGAGAAAAAATTACGTAACTTTATAGATACTGCGCAAAATGTTTTGCAAGGAAAATTACTTAACTATCACGTCATGTTTTAATTTCTTTGAAAATATATATTACGAGATAATCCTACGAATTCTTTTTTATATCGCACATTTGTGAAGAGATAAAGCAGAGCAGGATATATTTTTTTTCTTGCATCCCCCTAATAAAAAATTCTCAAGTTATAAAACGTTTCCATATCGAGTTTTTTTTTAAACTAAAAATATTTGAAAGTTTCCCTTTCATAAGGTCTGTTAATTCATACATGAATTTGCATTTACATGCCTGCTACACACACACACACACACACACGCGCGCGCGCGCGCGCGCGCGCACGCACGCATATGTATGAATGTTATTAATGATTGTGCGTGTGGGAGAAGGAAAAAGTTCAAGTATACATATATATAAATATGATAACATCACTAATATAGAACAACATAATTACATTATCTCTCATTAATCTGATTTTCATGCTAAATAATTGATTTATTGACGTAATGTACAACTCAGAAAGATTGCAATACTTTTTTTCGATGAGTTTTAGAATGTAGCTTGCTTATTGAGTGATTTATTCTTATTTATGAATCTAACCATTTCCGTTCAACCGCTGTATAAACTAAGGCTAAGTTCTGAAATCCATCAAAAAAGAAGTGTTCTTATGATCAGCTGTATCTAATAAAAGTTATTTCCAAATCTTATGAGTCTAATCTGAATAATTGAGTGATGCATATAAATGCAGTATGTTCATGTTGTATAAATATAATAAACAATATCGCGGACTTGTAATACATATAGGAAATATAATTAAATGGTTCGATGACGCACCGTGATAAAAATAAAAATTGAAGTGTAAGTCGAATGTAAAAGAAACGTAAAAAAAACGTTTCTTGCTGTGCATGATTTTCAATCAAATTTGTTCTGTATCATATCTCACAAATTAAATAAATAAATATATATATA